GATGGGGAGTGAAAGTAGGGGATTAGGGTGCAGAATGGCTTCTACCTACCTGAGGGGCCCCAAATCTGAGTGAGGCCAGGGCCAGGTGAGAAAGGTCTCCTCTGGCTGGGCAGAGGGCTGGGGATCCCCTTCCTCCCCTGCTCAACAGCTGGTGGCCACGTGCCCCTGTCTCAGCCTGCGTGTCCGGCCCCTCTGCCTGCCCTGTGGCCAAGCTGTGGCTCAGGGAGCTCTTCCACAGGGGGCTCCTTGCTCAGGGATGGTGTGGGACAGGGATGGAATGGGGCTGGAATGGTGTGGGGCTGAGATTGTGTGCAGCAGGGCTACAGGATCCTCTGCCCACCCCAGGGCGGGAGATGGGCACACCATCCCTGACTCCTCTGCTTGTTCAGGGAAACACTGCTGGCTCTGGGGACAGCACAATGCTAGACCTCAAAGTTGTGGGGTCCTAGGGCTCAGGACTAAGTGGAGGATCCCTGTCCCTCACAGCCTTGGAACGAGGGGTCCAGGACATGGAGGGCTGGGGGCAGCACTGCTGGCTGCTGCCTCCTCCCCCTCCAGCCCCTGGTGCCACAAAGCAGGGAATTCATACACAAATGCTCTACCTTCTGCCTGAATCTCACCTGTCTCTGCTTTGCTGCAAGACACACTCTCCACAGGCAGGAAATATGAGCTGGATGTGGGAATTTGCAGCCACCCAGGTTACTCCATCAGCACTGGGCAAGGCAGGGGGCTCCTGTGCCAAGAGTTTGGGGGACACAGGGAAGGATCTGGGGGCTCAGCCTTCCACCTTGCACACATTTCCCAGGCATGGGCAGCTGCAGCCAGCTCTGCCTGCTGTCCCAAGGAATGTCCCAATTCTGGATGTCCCGTCTAACCTGGCTGCAGTGGGTCTGGCTGCGTGCAGGGGGTCCTGAGCACCAGGTGGGCTGGGGACCAGAGGGGGTCCGGGTGATGGTGGTCCATGACATCCCAGCAGGTGCAGCCCACCATCCCTCTCAGAGGGTATTTTGGGGATGTCTCCACAGTCGCCCCAGGGGGGTCTGTGTAATGGGAGGGATGCATCCCCCCAGCCCCTCATCTCTCCATCCCTATGCACAGTTGCCATGGCAATGAGGGAGGAAGGCTCCCTCACTCCCTGATGCTTGGCACCAACATTCCTCCGCACGGCCTTGGCTGCTGCTGGGACATGCTGAGATGTTCATCAGAGCTAATTGCCAGGGAGCCACTTCCATGCTCTGTGCCGAGTCTCATCTCCAGCCCAGGGCTTGTCCCCCATGGCACTGTGCTGTCCCCAGCACTGTGGGGTGTTCTGCTGTCCCCAAACCTGGCCCAGACCGGGGTCAGCATCATCAGACGGGTCCCCTCGCTCCTAAACACAACACACACACTGCTGGAAAGTCAAGGCATTTCCCACATCTAAAATAAAAGTAATTAAGTGGAAAGGTCGTTCTTATTTATTCTTTTGTTACACAACCCCCAAGCTACCAAATAGTCAAATTAAGTCTTGGAGTGTTTAATGAAGGATCAGGGAAAACAGCTCATCAGTTCAAACAGCCATTCCTGTTGCAAAAACACCACCCGAAGCACGGCTGCTCTGGTGGGCACTGCGGGGGCATCCCGGGAGCTGCCCATGGGCACTTGGGCCATGGGCCTGGGCAGGGCTGGGCACCAGCAGCGCCGCGGCCGCAGCCCGATGAGTTCCCCGTTCTACTCACAGGGGAAGGATTTTTTTTAATAGGGCCCCATGGAGACATCAGAGCAATTTTCAAGGAGGTTTGAAGCCACTGGGAAGCTTATTAGATCCGTTCTGCAGAGTTAATTTGATGTTGGTAATCAGCGAGCAAGTTAAGCAGTTAAGGAGATGGTGGCTGCTGAAGGGTTGGGCTGTTTAGCCGCCTTGTAAGCAGTGGTTACTAATGAAAGGCTCATGAATATGAATGAGGGATGATTACAGTGTGGAAAGGGCAGTCAGCAAACCATAAACCTAATTTTAATCTTTTTATTATCAAAGTCACGTTATTAATAATAGGCTTTACCTTGAGACCGAGCTCCATCAGGCAATTACTGCTCTCAGCAGCACTCAGCACCAGGGTCTGCGAGGGGCTGAGGGTGGGACCCTGTGTGTTATGATGTGTCAGGGCACCTGGTCTCTTCCATCAGCACAGGCTGGACCACCAGTGACCCTCACCCAACCTCCTCCCTGGGGCTGGTGCTTGGACAGTGGCACAAGGAGCCAGACGCTGAGACCACCCTGTCCCTCTCCTCGCTACAAGCACAGCAGCCCTGTCCCACCAGCCACAGGCATCCTGGTCACTGCCACCACGGGGATGGCACGTCACAACTGGGCACTGTCGCTCAGTCCTGGAAAAGGATGGTCCTATTTTCTCCATGTCTAATTAATTGTAATTATTTCCTTATGGCGCTATCGATACAGGTGCTCGTGTAATGAGACAGCAGTTCCTGTGTGAAATGCTGAAGCAAGGGATGTAGAACATGTTAAAAAATATTAATCTACAAATGAAAATGATTTTAATTGGATTCTGCCTTTGGGGTCAGGTCACTGCTCCATTTTCAATCAGAGTTGTCCAGTCAGCAAAGCAGCGGCACAGCCCTTTCATAGGGAAACGGCGAGTGGCTCGCAGAGGTTAATAGGAATGTTGGAAAATAAATAGGTTATTGATTGATAATAACAATAAGCTGACTCCAGTCCTACCTTGGTGACCTTCTCTCACCCAACTTAGAGAAAACTCAGTTAGCATCTAATTATGGATTGCCTCACAATCCTGCGCATTAATGAGAGTGCGGCAGCGCAGGCCCAGAGCCCACTCTCGGCAGAGGGGAGAGCCCAAATGTGGTCACTCCTGGAGAGACCAGGATCCAGGAGCCCTGGGCATGGCACAGAACCACAGGATGATTTGGGTTGGAAAGGATCTTAAAGGCCATCCAGTTCCACCCTCTGCCATGGGCAGGGACACCTTCCACTAGCCCAGGTTGCTCCAAGCCCCATCCAACCTGGCCTTGGACACTTCCAGGGATGGGGCAGCCACAGCTTCTCTGGGCAACCTGTGCCAGGCCCTCACCACCCTCACAGGGAACAATTTCTCTCTAATATCCAGTCTAAACCTACTCTCTGTCAGCCTAAAGACATTATCCTGGTGCCCAACTAAGCTGCAGCCACTGCCTTGTTATACAAAGGTGGAAGAGAGAAGGACAGCGGCTTCACACGTGCAGAGCTCTGTAACTGAGACTTAAATTGCTTCAAGATGTGCCAGGATATCTTGCCTTCAGGTCCAGCTTCACTCATTATTCCACATATGGCTCTCGGCTGTGCTTGCTGCAAGATATGGAATAGTCAGAACTACCTGGGAAACAAGAAGATTCCTGGCAGTGTGCACAGCTCTGGGGGAGGAAAGCCTTTCCTTGCCCAGAGGTGAGCAGCCAGCACACGGGATGCCAGACAATGGGAGAGCCAGGGGCTGGGGAGGGACTCAGGAGCAGGGGCATGAGGTGGGGATGAGCTCCCATGGCAGCAGCAGCCTCCTGCACTCTCGAGGCTCCGGACACAGAGCTGCCCTGGACCTTCTCCCCGGCCTGGCGTCCTGCCCGCCTGCCCAGCTCTCTCGGCAGCTCCATGGCCATCATCCGGTGCTCGAGGCTTTACCAATCCCTCCGGCAAAGCCCTTTTCCCTCAGGGCCCCTCGGTGGCAGAGACCCCAGCGCCGCTCGCAGCCGCTCCGCGAAATGCCACGCATCCATTTCACAGAACCGCGGCGCAATTTGATGCAAATGAACAGCATTTCTCTTGCTTGTACACATTCCCTGTCAACACACGTTGAAGAGACTCACTGTGACATGTCAAAATGCTGCTCACGGCGGGGAAAATAAATACGGCGGTTTGGATGCTGCCTTCCCGCTCCGCCGGGAATGGCCGGGCAGGGGATGGAGTCGCGACCCCTCCCCGCGACAGCCGGGGGGGTCTCCAGCCTCCCGCACGGGAGAGGGACGGACTGGCGTCGCGCCCTGCTCTGTGTGACCATCGTGTCCCAGGCAGGAATCACAGAATCATGGAATGCTTTGGGTTGGAAGAGGGCTTATCTCGTTCCGCTACCCCGTCATGGGCAGGGGCACCTTCCACTAGCCCAGGCTGCTCCAAGCCCCGTCCAGCCTGGCCTTGAACACTTCCAGGGATGGAGCCGGGGCAGGGACTTTCCTGGAGCACGAGCTCCACCTGCCGCCGCCCTCCCGGCCCAGCCCGGTACCTGCGGGTGCCCCGAGTCCCCCAGACCGGCCCCCCGCCCCCGGAGCCCCCGCCCGGTGCCTCCCCGCTCCGCGCTGCTCGCGGCTTCCCCGATCGACCCCCGGGCACGGCCCCGCCGCGGGGTGTCCCGGCTGGGAGCGCGGCGTGGGGTTCGTGCCCGCACCGCACCCCGCGCTGCCCGCCCCGAGCGCTGCCCGCGTTGGGTGGTATCACCACCGCCCCCAGGACCACCCTCCGGCGGTGCGAGGGGGGAGTGATCCCCCTCCTGCGTCTCCGCAGGACCGTCCACTCAGGGCCCGGGGCGTTTCTATCACCTCCTGTCCCTCCACCCGCCCCGGGTGGCCCCAGCTGCTCAGCAACCTGCCGAGGTGGCTGCGGTGAGAACCATCTGTCTTGGCCACCCCGCACCCCACAGTGTGTCCCGTGAGAGCTGGGGCACCCCCTGCCCCACCCCACCCGCTTCCCCCAGCCCCCCACACCTCACAAAGACACCAGACTGCAGGGTGGTTGCACACTTGCCATGTTCACAGTAGACATTACAGGCAGTGGGGACATCCTCGGGGCTGTGGGTTCATCCTCGGGGCTCTGGTGACCTGCGGGATTCCCGCTCACACCGCTGAGGCCACCCCAAGACTCCCTGCCCCAGAGCATCCCCACGCCCCACTCCAGTGTCCAGTCCAGTCCCACCATGGCTGTGCCCGCTCCCACCGTGCTGACATGGGGCGGGTACGGGGGAGGGTACAGGAGCAGCCTTGGCCAGCTTGGTCTGGAGCACCCTGGGCAAGATGGTGCACCCAGGGCTGGGTGACACCTCCTGACCTCTGCCCATTTTGCTGCTGGGGTGCCCCAGCCCCACACCTCCCTGCACCAAAGCGCGAGAGACAGACAGACAGACTGACCAACTCCTCTTCCAGTTGCAGAAAGTGGGGAGCAGGGGCAGGGAGCTCCAAGGTGCTGGAGCAGAGGAAAGGAGCTGTTTGGGGAAGCCTCCTTGCCCTCCAGGCCTGCCCTGCTCAGCAGTGGTGGCTCTGCAGGGGGAGCAGCCACCCAAGGGCACCGGTGGCCTGTCCCCACTGAGGGGTCTGTGGGCAGCATTGGCTGCCCCTGGAGGGCCACATTTGCCCAGTGCATCCTCTTGGCTATCAGGGTGACTTGTGGTCCCATGACTCCCCTCAGTGACCAGCCTGGGGAGGTCCTCCTGGGTGCAGGAGGGCTGCTCTGAAGCAGAAAGAGGGGTTGTGGAGCAGGGAGGAGAGTCCCTCACAATGGTGGGCTCTGACAACCCCAGCCCAGTGCTGGTGGTGCTCCTACTTGTGCAGGAGCCCTGAACCTGCCCACCTTGTGCCCAACTTGGCTTGTCCTCCTAGCCCATTCCTGTCCCCACACTCCTGCTTCCTCCTCTGCCCCCAGCCCACAGCAGGGCCCTGTGTCCCCCTTCCATCAAACATAGGAGCATCAGCCCAAAAACCCACCCCGGTGCCAGCTGTGTGGAGGAAGGGTAGGCACATGGTTAGTGGAATAAGGTGGAGGTTGGACAGACACGGAGCTGAGTGAGGAGGGGACCCCCATCAGCCTGAGAGCCCAGTGACACCCCAGCTGAAGGAGCAGGCTTGGGTCAGTGCAGAGCTGGGATGCCCAGGGGTAGTGGCAGCATTAGGGGGTGGACCCAGCCATCCAAGGGGACCCCACTCTGGTTCTGCCTTCCAGTGAAGGCAGGAGCTGCTGTGGGGTGATGGTGACACCAGCCAGTGACAGTGACTGGGGAGACCCTCACCACGGGGTTAGTGAGCATAAGGCAAAGCCAAGAGAGAGCAGCCAGAGCTGGATGCTGCCCGGATCTGTAACCGCCAGACAGAGCTGCCCTGACCCTTGGTGGGGGCAGTCCCACACTGCTGTGTCCCCACAGCAGCCACGGTCTGGGCTGTCCTCATGAGCCAGCCCATGCCTACCAGCAGCACAGGGCCACCATCCTCTGCTGGCACACAGGGCTTGGCTTTGCCTCGCTGGTCATGGCAGTCCTGAACACTGGTGGTGCCTGGCCCTGGGTCACCAGCCCATGTCCAAACCTACACTGATGGACCAGGTCCTGGAGCCTTCACCTTGGCAGGACCCCTGAGAGGCTGGGAACGTTCCTCCGACTGACAGACAGACAGAAAGCAAAGCCCAGGCTGTGCCTCCATCACAGCCTGATGGCAGAGCCCCCTCTGACACCCACTGCCCCCTCCTGCCCTTGGCTCATTACCAGCCCAGCGGTCACACACAGGTATGGTTAGTCACGCCCACGCTGCTGGCAACAGCTTCCACATGCACCAGGCACAAGATAAACTGTGGAAAGACAAAGGGAGTGAAGAGAGGAGCCCGGGAGTGTCCGTGAGCCAATTCAGGGAGCAGCACAAGACCATTCCCCATGACGGGTGACGTGGGGCCCCAGGAGAGCCCCAAACTCAGGCTCTGGTGGGGCTCATAGACAATAGCATCACTCTGTGGCTGAATCTCTCTGGGTTTGCTGGATCTTTACAGCCATTACTGGTCATTATTAATGGTTTTGTATTGTCCTATTGCCTCTCAGCCTCTTTTCCTCGTTGTGCCACATGAAATTTCTTGGAAAACAGAAGGCAAATAGGGAAATTTTCAAAACCCTCCAGTAAAGGCATCTTCCTTCCCATCGCACCAAATGGGAGCCAGGGATGCTCAGCAGCACTGAAAATTGGGGTGCTGCAGGTTGATAACCAGAAGTCCAGGAGGAGCCACCGTCACTTGTCATGGCAAATAGCATCCGAGAGGCAAAGTGCAAAGAGACTTGGTTAGTAGCAAAGAGAGAAACAGGTCAGGAAGGATTAGTACAGTGCTAACAGAAGTACAGGTTAGTAACAGAAGCAGGGCACTGGTCTGCCTTAGGACACACACACTGGAAGAGAAATGAAGAGAAAAGCAGCAACGGTTAGTTTGTTTAATTCAGTTCAGGAATGTGTTAGTAACAGAGATCTACTGGCTTAAAAAGGAACTGAAAAGCTTCTGCTGATAAAACCGTTTTAGGCTCCTAGTCAGCAACAGGCTCACGGGCAGAGCCGGGCAGGGCGTGCGAGGAGAAACCCTCTCCTCGTGCTGGCAAGGGCTGCCCAGGGCAGGGGCTGCTGGTTCCCTCTCCTGCCTGGGGCAGGGACTGCTGGTCCCCTCTGCTGCCCAGGACAGGGGCTGCTTGCATGGGCAGGGGCTGCCAGTCCTCCCTCCTGCTCACAGCTGGGGCTGGGGCTGCCTGTATAGGCAGAGCTTGATGGACGCGGCCCAGTGCTGGGCAGGGGCTGCCAATCCCTTCTCCTGCCCACAGCTGGGGCTGCCCTTGCCCGTCCCTGCCTGTACAGCCTGGCACTGACACCTGGCGCTTCCAAACCTCCTCTCCCAGCTTTTCCGTTCCCCTTTAAAGGCAGCACTGCTGCCACAGTTAGTGGGTGCGAGGCAGGGCTGGCTGTGGGTTAGTAGGGCATGCACTGGGGCCAGTTAGTGGGTTAGTCCATGTGCCAGGGGCAGTGCCAGCCCCTGATGAGGGTACAGGGTCCCAGCGGGTTAGTAGGTTAATGTCGGAGCGCAGCGGCAGCATGCAGAGCCGGGCCCAGTGAGCAGCAGGGCTCTGGCTCACAAGAGCAGGAGGCGTTTTGGGGGGTTGTTACCACATTGAGATTTGGGAAGGTGTTATCGGAGGGCTTAACCTGCATAATGTAACCTGTTTCTGAGTTAAATGCTTTGCAAGGATCTGCCCCTCTCACTCAGGCCAGTGAGGCACCAAATGCCCTGAGCAGTGTGTCCCCACACAGGGTGTGCTTCCCACTCCTGGTACTGGTGAGGGTGGGAGACTGGATGCATGGAGGAGACAGTCCCAGCAGTGCAAGGCAGTTACTCAGGTCAGGGCACTAAAGGAGCCGGAGGAAGCAGAAAGGGAAGGGGTGAAAGCATCACTGACCATGCCTGGGGCAAGGCTACGGGCAGCTCTGCAAGAGCAGGGCTTCTGCAGAGACCACGAGAGCTGCTCTGGGTCTCCACCAAGCTCTCACTGCCTGTGAAGGGAGGAAGAGATTCAGCAGGGAAAACCATGCCATGGAGCAGAGGAAAAGTGGCCCATAGCTTACCCCTTCCCTGTCAGAAGCTGCCTCTCCATGGAGCTAAGCAGTGCTCTGAGGGGCAGCAAGAGCACTGTGCCCTGAGAAACAGGGCTGTAGTGGGGCACCCAGGGCATCCTCTGCCCCATGTCCCTCTGGGTTACCTCCTCCTGCAGCACTAACTCCTGCTGGTCCCCAAGAGGATGCTTTTCCAGCTTGGACTTCAAGGCTCTAACACCTGCCACAAGATGTGTCTGTCCTCAGCCCCCAGCCCACCTCATTCCGAGCTCTCCCTCCTGTGCAGAGACAGGGGCTGGAGTGACTGCTCGGTGTGGCCACAGCCCAACCACTTACTGGGCCACTGCCACCCCCACAGAGGTCATGGGAGGAGGATTCACTGCCCATGTCCCTCCACACACTCCAGGCTGCTCCACAGGGCAGGGGAGACAGGATCCTGCTGGAACAGGGCACCAACAGTACAAGGCAGTTCCAGGGCAGAAAGCACCAGGACTTCACCAACAGCCAGAGGGATGGGCAGGATCAATGGGGACAACCAGGGTCCCTTTGTGCTCCGGCCATTGTGTCTCATTGAGGAGCTGGCACAGCTCCATCCCTGTTGCCTTCCCCTTCTCCCTCTCCCTACACTGCGTTCAGGGAAGCGGATGGGTCTCATCCTGCCCATGGCTGGGGTGGAGCAGCAGGAGGGAAGGGGACCCCAGCACCTTGGAGGAAAACCGCGAGCACGTGCAGACCCATGTCCTCAGGTGTCCCCAGCGCCGTGTCCTCGGCTGTGTCCCCCGCAGTGGCCAGGGTCGTGGCTCTGGCCCATGGCACTGAGCACCAGGCTGCTCTGCTGGGGCCGGCCCGGCTCTGGCATCGTGTGCAGGTGACGATGTCGGCTCCCCAAGCCTGGCTCCTCTCCAGGCACAGCCGGTCTGGCCAGGCAGGAGCTGAGGCTGTGCCTCTGGGGTGGTGGCACTGGGGAGCAGAGATGCTGTGAGACCCTGGGCAGTGTGGTAACCACCCCCTCCCCACTGGTGAGCATTCTCTCATGCAGGTGGCCCTGGAGATGGTGTGACCCCCTGGACACCACTGGAGCCTGGGGAGGAAGGCTCCTGGCTGCCCAGAGCCCTCCCAGCTTGCTAGGGGTGGGAGAGCATGGGGCTGGTACCGCCTGTGTCCCCCCCCGGGGATCCTACCTGTGGTCACCAGCTATGCAAGTGCCGTGCAATGTCCCCCCATCCTGTGTGGCTCTGCGCTGTGGAGGCCGCGAGGGGACTGTGTGAACAGACTTCAGGTCAGTCATTAGCAGCTGCAAAAGAAACAACCAACGCAGCAAGGGAGAGACACACGGCACCGTCCTCAGGCAGAGCCGAGCCAAGCTGGCAGGAGCCTGGCAGGAGGGCTGGGCAGGGATCCTCCTGTCCCTTTCCCCTTGCAGAGCAGGGAGCTAGACCCACCACCAGGCACAGGGGGGCACCAGGAACCACCACATCAGAAATGGTGGCAATGCCCCAACTGTCCCTACCTGCTGTGGGAACCCCTGCACTGGGGGCAGGGACTGACTTTCACTGCCACTGCCACGGCTGCCACTGTCACTGCCACTGCTGCCTCTGCCAGCTCTGCTCCTGCCCTGTGGTTAAGCTGGGTCACTGGGACCCTGTGGTTCCGCAGGCACCAGTTGTACTGGGGCGGCCGGCGGTCACAACTGCGCTGTGGTGGGTGCTGCTCCACCTCCACAGGGATACGGGGACACGTGGCTGGTGCCAGCAGCCAGCCCATGTCTGCAGCCAGCCACAGTGCCTGCCCTGCTCCTGCTTCTGCCCTGTTCCTGCTTCTGCCCTGCTCCTGCTTCTGACCTGCTCCTCCTCCTGCCTTTCTCCTGCTGCTGCCCTGCTCCTGCTCCTGCCTTTCT